CGCTGGATGGGGAGGGGTCCCTGGCGCCGGAGACTGTGAGCCCAGACAAGGTGAGTGCCCGGCACGTGTGTGTGACACGTGGCCCAGTCGGGGCGCTGAGCGTGCAGCACTGGTTCGGGTTGGAGGGCATCATGGCACTTGGCACGGCTCCAGGGCTCCCAGCAGCTCCCGACCTGCTCTGCTCCTGCCAGCCCCGCACAGGGTCCCGTCACAGCCCCGCGGCTGAGGTCCGGCCCGGTCAGCAGGGTGGGTGAGAAACGAAGCGCTGACTGGGATTCTCCTGGCGGGGCGTCAGGGGTGTCGGCGGGAGAGCAGGTGTTGGGTGGTCACAGCCGCACGCCTGCACAGGCCTTCGGCTCAGGCCCACTTGGCCGGCCTCCCTCTCCTTAGGCTGCTGGCCCCCTGCCTCTGGAGCCACCCCCCCAGGGCCCTGTCCCCATCCTCACCGCTCCACTCCTCACACCTCGAGACCAACTTGGGGGCCTTCGTGCTCTGCTTCCCTGGGGAGTTCAGTTTAAGGGTGAACTGGATTTCAGAACCGGGCAGCCCGGCATCGCAGGGCAGCGACTGCTGTGCTCAGGTGCGATGGCCGAGCGTGTCTGCTGAGCTGGCCCGGGGGGTGGGGGGTCAGGGCTGCCACCCCAGTGGGAGATGACGGGTACGAGGCCAGATGGTGAGGCCGAGGCACGGGGCCCGCGACCCTCAGTGCTGTCGCCGAGTTGGAAGGACAGGGGCTGTTCGCCAGGTGAGGGGGAGGGGAGGTGTCTGGACAGTGAAGCAGGGTCAGAGCAAGCCTTCGGGGCAGCCTCCGTGGTTGGGAGCCGCCTGCACAGCCAGCCAGGGGTCCTTGTTACAGAACCGCAGCCACAGTCCGCGGCCACTGCCCTCTGGTCTGGGCGGGGTAAGAGCCCATTGCCAGCAGAGCGGAAGCCCCAAAGCCCTGACCCCTGCAGGCGTGACCGCCCTGTCTCCCCAGGACTGGTACGTGCGCCTGGTCAAGTCCCAGTGCTGGACGAGGTCTGACTCTGCGCTGCTGGAGGGGGCGGAGCTGGTGAATCGGCTCCCCCCGGGTGACATGAGCGCGTTCCTGAGGCACCCGGTACGTGGGACTGCTGCCCCTGTCGCTCACCCCTCCGGTCCTCGGGCGGCCTCGGGCCGTGTCCTCTCACGCCTGCCCGGTAGCCAGGGACTTGGGTCCAGGCCCTCAGGACAGTGTTCCCACCCGGTGGCAGGGCCGTTGCGGGCGGTAGAGGCTGACCATGCAAGTGAGGGGGTCCCCAAAGACCCAGCCCCCGGCGCTTTGTGATGCGGCTGCATTGGGACCAGCAGGAGCCCGGCCCCCGCAGCTGGCTGCCGCCACTTTCAGACGCATCAGTGGAAGCTGACTGCTCACTGTGTTTGCTTAGGGACCCATTTATGAATTTTTAAAGTTAGGTCATTGGACTTTTACAGCTTTTAAAGGTTGTGGCTATAAGACAGGTTTAGTCGGGGTCACTATGATGACATAGGGTTTTCTGAATATTAACTGAAGATTGACATTCTACCTGAAAATTGGCCAAAGAAACCCTGACATGACTTTTAAAGATTGGCAAAATAAGACCAATAATTGCGACGCCATATGAAATGCTTTCTTTCCAACCAAAATGGTGGCATTTATATGGGACCTTGATTTATTTCAGCTGTTTTTGAGCATAACTCACCTTTTTCCAACTCTGGGAGTGTGAAGGGCTTCGCTGGGCCCTGGGCGGCAGTCAGCTCGATGTGTGTCACTGTCAGTGAAGGTTTTGTCATCTACACTGTGATTTCATAATAAAATGAAAATACTCCTTTAAACTTAAACCACCCCAAAGAGACCAGAGCTGTAGTCACCGAGCACGTGTAAGGGTGCGTTTATTTATAACAGATGCAGAATATGCTTAGGGTTTTACGGTTTCTAACCTGTGTACCTCGGGCACGTTGCATCACCCTCTTCCTGCTGTCTCCTGGCCTGATTAACCCTGTCATCGAACCTTCGATGCCCTGACGCAGGAGTTCAACGTCAGCCTGTTAGCCCCGTGCCTGGGCGTGGGCGCGCGGGAAGTTTCCGGAGGCCAGAAGAGCGCCCTCTTTGAAGCAGCGCGCGAGGCGACTCTGGAGCGGGTGGTCGCCATGGTCCAGCCGCTGCCCGCCACCCACCAGGCGTTCCGGCCCCCCCTGCCTGCAGAGTCCACCGCCTACTGGAGCCAGTTGAACGATCTGTTTGGTAATTAAAGTACAAATGTCTCTTGTTCATTCACTTTGAGAGTTTAAAATTGATTTTTAGGGGGAGAGAGAGAAACATCTATGTGAAATCGAGTCATTGATCAGCTGCCTCTGGCATGATCCACAACCGGGGATCGAGCCTGCAACCCAGGCATGTGCCCGACCGGTAATTGAACCAGCAACCTTTCGGTGCACAGGACGACGCCCAACCAGCCACGCCACACTGGCCAGGGCTAAAAATGTCTTTTACTTTTTAAAATGCTGCAGAGCTAGGATCTGCTTTGCACTGAGTAAACCTACAGTAAGTGCTGTTGCTCTAATAAACAGAAGTAACTGGGACACGGCACCGGGGTCCCCAGTCCGCATGTCTGTGGGTGTGGGGGCCACTTTGCTGGTCGTGGGCCCACGCAGGCGGGAGGGC